CAAGGGTTTTGGTGTGTGTGTGTGTGGGGGGGCTCTATTGATTATATAGTGAAAATGCATGGATTCTTTGAAAATCTTCTTCTCTGCTCCTAGGTATCAAATAAACTAACTAAGTGCATAGTTATAATGAGCAAGAGTGCCTGAACCAAAATTGTGAATTTTAAGGCCCTAGGGTCAAGGGTTGTGGTGTGAGTGTGGGGGGGGGGTCTCTATTGATTATATAGTGAAAATGCATGAATTCTTTGAAAATCTCTTTCTCTGCTCCTAGGTATTAAATAAACTAACTAAGAACATATTTATGATGAGCAAGAGTGCCTCAACCAAAATTGTGATTTTCATGGCCCCAGGGTCAAGGGTTCTTGTGTTGGGGGGGGAGGCTCTATTGATTATATAGTGAAAATATATTAATTCTTTGAAAATCTTCTCTGCTCCTGGGTATTAAATAAACTAACTAAGTACATATTTATGCTGAGCAAAAATGCCTCTTCTAAAATTATGAATTTTATGGCCACGGGGTCAGGGGCTCTGGTGTTAGGGCGGGGCTCTATTGATTATATACTAGTGAAAATACATTAAATCTTTGAAAATTTTCTTCTCTGTCTCTGGGTATGAAGCAGATGAACTACCTAAATAGTTATGATGAGCAAGGGTCCTAATCTTGCAGAATTGTGAATTCAAGGCCCCAGGGGGGGGGGCTCTGCTTTTATACTGAAAATGAATCAATTGTTTGAAATCTGCTCCTTTCTATTTATAAAACATGTATTTATTGTTTGATAGGCAATTTTAAGGGTACCTTTTTAAAATTTGTGCAATGTGTGGACCTAGGGTCAGGGGTTTACGTCACAGTGTTAGGGGCACTACTGATTATTGCTGAATATTACTGATTAGTTGGAATGCAATATTGTTCCCCTACCCTGCGTATGGGTATTCAGTAACCAAGCTAAGCAACTGCTAAGTGTTTTGTTATGATGATCAATGGTGCCTCTTTCAAAATTGTGAATGCCATATAGCATCTGGCTTAAAACATGAATCAAATTCAATCACTGGAAAGTTGTTGCATAATGCTCAGGTGACCTATAAGGCCCGTGGGCCTCTTGTTGTAAATATATACATAATTTGGAGTTTACTTTTTTGTTGTTTAGCCCCCCTCCCCCATTTTCAATTTGCTTCCGACGCCGATGTTCAAAAATTGAAATGACAAAATGTATGCAAATTGCTATGAACAGGATTTGAAAAAAAAAAATATTGTGACATACAGACCTATCATAATTCCGAAAATTGTTTTAAATTTTATGCCAATGCTATTGTAATGTTATATATTGAGTTAAGGTTTGTGTCAAGGCTATATATATTTCCTATCACCTATTGGCTCATTTTTCTCATCAGACACTAAGACGGATCGATTAACCACTGGCTAGATATATTTTCCACATATAAATTCATTCCATCTGCCTTTTCACGGAACTCTCACTTTCTGTGAAAATGGTATTATTTTGATACAATCAGTAAAGTTTAATACAATGAATTATCTCTTATCTCAATTACATCAGAAACTACGACAGATCGATCACGTGAGCTGCGTTCAACGTCTGGACTAGCGATGTTTTTCCACATATAAATCCATTTCATCTACTTTTTCACAGAACTCTTGCACAAAAGCTTAGAAATGGTTGCGTTGCAATACGTAATATGTTTACTTTCAATTCTACATGTGACCAGTAAGTTTAACTTTTATTTTATACATTTACATCTGCATGCTTAGAAATGTCTTCTACATAAATATCTATACGTCTGTGAATTGCATATTTTAAATTTACATTGTCTTTAAAACACCAGACTTGTTGCATTGTATTTAAAACACCTGACTTGAGAAGATATTGGTGCCTCGAAATGTTTACCAATAATATATATTAAGTGTTGTTGAGGAAGGGGTGGTAGAAAACAGTTATTTTTATTGTTCAAGGGTATTTTTGTAGCTATCCTTACGTTTTTTTTTTACTTCTGGGATTGTGAATTTACGGGAAAAAATCACATTATAAAAAGAGCACAATTTAAGTATCATAATTGTCTTCCAACACAAATAGACAGATAACTAATCATTCCGATTTCAAATCGATTTGCTTTCCATTCAAGTTTAAGGTAATCCTATTCCCAGGTTGTGAAAATCAGACATTGAGTTATTGAAATGCTCACAAAGATGTCACCTAGTTCTCAAATTAATGAATATTTCTTGTGTTTCTTGAAATTCGATCTTTAATCATAAAAAAATGCAACTTATTTTTTAACAATAGTCTTTCTGGAAAATTTCTTCTCTAAATATCTATTTTATGTTGAGAGGATATTGATCGAAAAACATTTAAAGCTACAAAACATAAAAGCTTTCATCTAGATTATATAATTTGCTACTGTTCCCTTTTAGAAAATTTTGTAACTACGCTTCAAATATGTATTATTGCTTTTTTTGAAAATTCATTTATACAATATGTGTTACCCCTTTTATCTGTTTACCTTATAAAAACCTTAGTTTAAAAAATTGTAATGAAGATGTAAATGACATTTATAGCAAAAACTGAACCTTTCTTACTTTAGTGAATTACAGATTGCTACAATTAACTATCTCGGGAACTTTAAGTTTAAAATTTATTCAATTCGATACTAGCGACGAAACGGTTGGTAAAAATATGTAAATATATAGATTTGTTTGTTTTTTTTTTTTTTTACTATGGTTAGAATCTTTATTTGCTATAGTATTTTTGTCAGGGGTGGTACCAATTAAAAAATAAGAATGCACTTTTAAAAAAAAATGATTTATATTGCAATTATTTTTTGAGCAACAAACTATAGAAGGGTTTAAAGTATAAAAAAAAAAAAAGGCTTGCAAAAAGGTAAACTTTTGAGCATCTTTAAAATTTAAGAAATTGTTAATATATTTTTTTTTAAATTTACTTTTATTTTGCATGATTATTTTTATTACAATCACATTTGTTAAAATATATATATATCAATCCAGATTTCCATGTTTTGTTTATATGATTTGACCTTAAACGTAATGCGTAGTATCAATGCATTCAGATGCAAAACGGATGAAAAATAAAAAAAACAATGATGGATGGATTAATTAAGCGAGCTAGAGCATGTCGAAGGCATATTTATAAAAGTATTAATTTACGCCGTTAAACCATTGATCACAAACGTCAAAATAACTGTTCCTGTAATTAATTTATTTTATATCGAAAAACAGTAAAGGTAACAGGTAGATGCGCCATACCTAAATATTTCCATGGAGTCTTGTACAGTCGGGAATCGGGAAATGACGTCATAACAACGATAACTGCCGAGAAATGGGACAGCGATGAGGACGAAACAGAGTTAAATTTTGAGGATTTCTTCATCCACCCTAGCCCAACGCCACAACAGGCTGGCAACAATGTCACGATGTTAATGGTCAGCAGGTAAGAAGTTTGTGTGATCGATCATCAATGGATGCTTACTCCTCCCAGGCAGCTGATCCCATATCTATAATTCCAGATGTCTTTTTGTTGCTCTTTATCATATTTGTATTGTTTGTGGATTATTAAAAGATCAATCGCTGTTTACAATATTTCCCCTTTAGTTAAAGTTTTTCATTATCCATTTGCATTTCATGAGAAGTTTGAAAAAAGTTTTTTATACAATTGACATGAACTGTGATGTATAAAAATAGAAAATTCAAAAAAATTGAAATGAACATAGCCTTGTGAAAGTAAAGTTTGTTTTAATATCTATGAGACAATCCATGTATTTCTTCTTAACACGCGTAATAAAGGTATATATAATTATATTGTAACATATGTAAAACATATTACAATATGTTCAATGTAAGCAAGACGCGTTTATCAAAATACGAGTATATATATTTTTAATTTTGATTTTTTGACTTTAAGCATTAAAAAGGGGGCATGTACTTTTCTTTAAAGAAAATCTGATTATCTTTTTCATTTTCTTAATAGTGGAGGTTCGGGAAAATGTTATTTTTGTGTGGATGTTTTATGGAGAACAGATCAATACCGGAAAGGTAAATACGCATGGAAAATCAGATAAATCAAGTGATAGAATAAAAACAATACAAATACAGTAATTTTTTTGATGCATATAAAAAAAGAGACTTATTCTATACATTCACAGTACAGGGACTGATCTTTTCTGAAAATAGTCAATTCTTGATTTAAGAATTTCAAACAACAAATAAATAAATGAGGGCTTCAACAGGAATAAACAATCATAAAAAATCCTACAAAATAAATAAATATAAATTATTATAACAGTAACTTGATCCGAAGGGTCGTATCACGTCGAGTTGACAGATGCAGATCATCAGATCAAACGAGATCTGATGATCCGCGCCTGTCAACGAAACGTGATACGGCTCTTCGGAGCAAGTAACTGTTTTAATGATAAATGTATTATATATCCCCTTATAAATAGCTAAATATAGCAAAATAAAGCTTGAAAGATAAATTCTTTAATATTTATCCAAAGAACAAAGGATAATGACAAGGGATTTTTAACGTGCAAGAAAAATAACGTCATGTTTTTGCCTACTACGTGATCAGTTTCAGAGAGTGCTGATATGGATTCAGAAAACCACAGTGTTGTGATCCGGAGAGTCGGATCACGATGTCAGGTGATTGCATAAAATCAACAGTAAAATTGAGTGCTAAACATTAGGTATATAACTAATGAGCATATTTAAGAAATGACAAAGAAACCCTGATATGGAAAAAACAAAAAAGAAAAACTACAACAACAAAAAAACAATGAATGTAAAATCAAAGCAATGCAGACACTGTAGTTGGCCCTCATTTCGTTCCAAAACTAGCCGAAGTTTTTCATTACAACAAGATAGTCCAACATTTAACCTCAGCTGCCATTTTGGAACTAAATTATGATCAACTACCGTATATACATCAAACAATAAAACTGAGATATAATTTAAATGAATATTTTTCAGGTGATTGTATACCTGTTAATGTAGGGTATACTGTTTCTCTGAACATCTCCTGTAGAGCTATGGATCCCTGGTATGGCCTTCCACACACTGACGACACCGTCACCATGTTTAGTGAGTATATAATGCTCTAGCTAGAAATTGTATTACATTTTTAAAAAGTCTAGTGATATATCTACTGAATATCTGAATCACTGATCATCATCGAAGGACACCTCAGAAAAGGCAGGTGTGTTGTATCATTTCAAAATATATTAATATTCATTATTAAAAAAAACATCTTTGGATATCAGAAAGTAGGCGAAAAATGAAAATATATAGAAACGGTTTCTTGTTTTTCATTAAAACGCATGATGTTCGTTTATCATATGATATTAAGTGTATTTATTTCCTTTAATGAAGATCGTGTGAACCATTTGTACATTTAAAAAATCAGGAAAATATCCTCTGCGAAATACGAAGAAATCTTTTCCCTCTCAGAAAGAGATTTTTTCCCCCAAATATATAATGAATCAAATACATGTATAATATCACTAAATAAATGATTTTAAATCTATTATTTAAATCCAAACAGCCATTTTGATTATACATTTTTAAAAGGGGTATAAGAAATAACAAATGATAACTTAGAAAACATGATGAGTGCCTTATAAAATCATTCATTAGATTACACTGTTAATTGTGTTTCGATTATTGCAGGGCGAATTCCACATCGAGTTAACTGCGAAAGTCTGTTTAAAGGACTGTACCAGTTTTCTTACGAGAAGAATAGGGGAGACGGAGATCTGTGACAACTTCAATAATCAAATCAGTGCTTGTCAAGAACCAGGATCCCAATACGTAGGCAACGAAGTTTTTCTCAATGACGTATGCAAGTTGTCCAAATATACTGACGTCAACAAATAAAAGTAAGGAAACATGAGGAGTCAGAAAAATAAATTTAGTTTTTTCTTTTCAGAATAGTTAAATTACTAGTAATAGCCATATATCTCCATACCCCACCATGGAACATGATCCCATCTCTGAGGTTTTGGAGGTCTGTGTTTGTTCTGCTCCAATTTGGTATTGTTTTATGGACTTTTGATCTTAAAAACTTTTTCATACAGTATCACTTTTCTGTCATAACTGCATATACCCTTTTTTTAATGCACGGAATCAATAATTGCACTAAACGATTAACTTTTTTGATTTACTTTCTCTGTGGAAATTTGAATACATAATCTGTGGTATGCTTGGATGTATATAAATGTAAGAATTAAAAGCCAAGCAAAACATATTCATTTACATCAATAGTTTGAGAGACATTTTCGTGATTTACAATCTTAAATATTTCATACAATTACGGAAGTATTGCTTAAACCAAAATAATATTTGTGGTAAACAAATTATAACACGTATTGACTTTTATTCTATAATAGTCACATTTACAGGAAAATAGCATGCATGCATAAAAAATAAATTGTGTTTCAGTAGGCATAATTTAGCTAATTTTGGAAAAAAGTGGTCATGTAGCCTGGTTTTGACTAGACATACATGTATAATTAAATCAATCCTACATCGAATTTGATGTATTTCAAAGAAATTTACTCATTCTAATACGATTTTCTTTTTAAAAAAGAAAATGCTTAGTTTACTAATTGTATAATAAAATGAATGAAATCTGTATTAATTAAAGCCCATTAGAAAGGTTTTGCTCCCTGTGACGAAATATACAAGATTCAATTGGATCTGTGAAATAGTAAAAAAAATCACATCAGCCTGATGTCATCAAAAACAGTTTCAAAAATCCACTTCAAAAGATTATGCAAGTATACTCAAATAGACAGCACTCCTTGGGGATCCGGGTTAGAATAGGTCCTCAGTACCCCCTTGCTTGTCTTAAAAGGCGACTAAATGGGGCGGTCCTTCGGATGAGACCGTATAAACTGAGGTCCCGTGTCACAGCAGGTGCGGCACGATAAAGATCCCGCCCTGCTCAATGGCTTTGAGTGCCGAGAATAGGCCTTAATTTGCAGCCCTTCACCGGCAATGGTGACGTCTCCATTTCAGTGAAATATTCTGGAGAGGGACCTTAAACAGTATACAATCAATCAATCAATCAATCAAATATACAGCCTTAAACTTCTGACCTTGATCTAACTTGATGTTTTACTCAGAGAAAGTAAAGAATCTGTTTATAACAGTCACCATATGTTTAACGAAATAAGAAGTTTGTACTGAGATCTGGCAATAAAATAATGAGCTTATGTTTAATAACTGTTTGCAGTGTTAAAGAGGTGAGATACCAGTGTATGGGCACATGGGATGCTGAACAGAATGGCCGGTTTTACACGTTTGCTGCCGTTTCTGACCTTGCGGAGAGGGAGACTAACCCTAGTTTTGGATTCCAGTGTTTGGTAAAGTCAGAATCTCAAAATCGTATCAGCCCTACAGGGTTTATATGGATCTGCGGGGCTGATGCGGATCAATATCACATCCGTAGTAAATTAAACCTCAAAATACAGTTCTTTGATAATACATTTACATTGTAAACATAGTCTGCACGAATTTGATTACAGATGACATTAAAATCCCAGAAAGGAGATGAGATGCGATGGGTGATGTCCCGTTTTGCTGATTGCTCACGTTTGTATAGTATTGGCGGTGGACCAGTTAGATTAGTACTAAAAAGGGGTGAGTCAATCTATTACAAAACAGACAATTAATATCAAATAACAATTAATTTTCGATTTATTTGCATTGATAATTTACAAATATGTTGACATGTTTTCAGTTGTTGCCACTGAGCACATGAACTCTCGCTGTAATCTGCCGAGCGATCTTGCAGGAAAATGGGAAACCAAGGGACCAGGATTCAAATATGATGTGGTCATAAATGAAACAAATATCCGTTTCCAACTGAACCTAAGGCAATCGAGTTCGTGGATTCTATATTCGCATGTCAGAAAAAATCTGGTACCAGGTACTTAATGGCGCGTGCTATTGCTGGAGAATGGTAAATTCTTAATCCATATGATACTGTTAAACTACTTTTTCTGCGTGGTATTAATTTACACTATGTACGCGTTCATTTTTTCGCGGAAACCTGTCCCATTGAACCTATTATTTGCGTGTTAGGCATGTAGTGTAAGTCTTAGAAATCCGCGAAAATATCTACCCGCGGATTAAACAGAAGAAGAGATTCAGCAAAACTTTGACCTGGTGGAACAAAAACGTTTGCAATACAACAATATTGCAACAATAAACATGAAATTCATGTTTAAAACCGTTAATTTTGGACTATAATACTTTTAAAATTGACAGTTTTTATTTCGAAACAATTTGTGTTATTTAGTACAAATATATCACTTAATTGAAATCTTAAATACACTTAACTAATTGAATGACTAGTGATTCAATAAATGTAAAAGAAAAAATCCAGTGACATCCAAATAAGACATAAAATCCTGTATCATATCTTATGTTTTAGTGATGAGGTCTTTGTATGCATGGATATCGTGCCACAAACTTACAACACCCTTAGATACAGAATAGGTAAATATTTATTTTTCTTTTAGATTTAAAATATAACCTACCTTATTTTAATAGGTGAATAATATATTAGTAAGCTTTCTTAAGATTCAAAATATATTAACCTAGTTTTTTTTATCATAGATTCTTTCGTTTCTTTAGTAAATCGTGATTAAAAATAATCCTTACTTTTTAGGTAAACCAGAAAAAAGTCCGTTGCATATCTTCCGGGAAGAATTAGATATTACCAGAATGTTTAGGGTTGCTTGTCATTGGTTTGATCGTGTAGGTATAAAGGGAAATCAGGCTTATGGAATCCTTAGTCGTAAAGTGAATATCAATTGATATTTACCAAAGAAAGGAGTATTATTATAATATTCTAAAGTACTATAGAATGTGCCCGGAGTCCAATCTAAGTATGCAATAAATGTGTTTTAAAGCGTGTTTATTGAATTGGGTTTTTTGTGAAAATACAATGAAAGGGTTGTACATAAACAAAGATAACGCACAATCTCTCAACTCCCTGCTTATTCAGGAGTATTCCCTCAACTCATGATCCCTCATTTGCATTGTTTGAATAGAATGTTGAGCTTGAATATGGATCTTTATATGCATTTATTACATGCAATCAATGGGATTTATGAATTTTGTTTATTATATAATGGAATGACAAAAATTATGCAAATTGCTTTTTTTTTTTAATAAAAAAATCATTTTAACATAAACGATATTAAAAAAACGAGATTGTTTTTGGTTATATTATCTTTTTTGATGCCAAGACTAATGTAATTTCATAAATCCAGTGTTTTCTACTGAGTTAAGCTCATTGTCAAGCTCAGTGTCAAGGTTAAAGTTAGAACTGCACAATTTCTAAGAAATGACAGATTTTGTAACATGTGCACTTATAAAAATCTGTATTTTTTTCATTGTCAGGCTCATTGTCAAGATTAAGGTTAGAACTGTACAATTTCTAAGGAATGACAGATTTTGTAACATGTGCACTTATAAAAATCTGTATTTTTTTCATTGTCAGGCTCATTGTCAAGATTAAGGTTAGAACTGTACAATTTCTAAGGAATGACAGATATTGTAACATGTGCACTTATAAAAATCTTCATTTTTTCCTAACTATTCAGGGCATTGATTTACAAAAGAACTTAAGACTAAGAGCGTGTAGCTTTGCTTGTAACGTTCTACTTGACATAAAATGAAAATTATTTTATTTTTTTTTAAGGAATACTTAGAACGATGTTTTAATAATATCAATTTTAAAGCCGCTTCATCCGAAACAGGCACATATTATCTTAAACATTAAAACTACGTCATTACATAGATAATATATAAACATAAATTATAAGATTGATTTAACAGCTTATCACAACAATCCTAACATGGTAGACATAGATCAAAACCCTTATTGAAAAACAGAAGTTCCTGATGGGAAGTTTAGATCTGTTGTGAAGTCACCTTTGAAAAAAATAAATTTATCGGTTATATCTAATTATGAAGAGAATTCAAACCCGAGTACTCTTTTTTCCATTAGTAGAAGCCTAAGTCATAATATATCTTTTAAAAATTTAAGAAATTTATTGAATATAATCCATAGTAATTTTCATATTAATGTGCATATTTAAAAAATAAAGGAAAATCAGATATTTTTTAAGATTTTTGAAAGGAAGTTTAGAAACAAAGGCTAAAACATTGCTCGTGTACAGGTATAAGTACTTTGTTGTGAAAAAATGCTCGGGTTTGTTCCTCATTAGTTAAACATGTAAGCGATTAATTCAATTTTTTAAAGGAGATTTCACGCGATATCAACATAGGATTATTTTTTTTGTGACCTAACTTTTGAATTTTGACACCTTTTAAAAGAAAAAGACTTTGGGGATATAATTTGACAAAAGTTGAAACAATTTATGAACAATTATTTTTCAAGAAGAAAAACGATTATATTTTTAAGCGATTAGAATCGGACTTAGTGGCTTTAAAGAGTAATTAGTTTGACGAAATTCTACTATCATTTGAAGTTTTTGGTCTTATAAGTCGAACGTTTTTTTTTTTTTTGGTAAAACGGGTCCCTGTCATTTAAATGGAGCATCAGTTCTGAAAATGATTGCGCAACAAAGAGAAAGATAAGAAATAAAGGAAAACATTATTCAAAATGAAATGAAACACCAAGACAAATTTATCGTTCAAATTTATGTTTAAAAAATTCTAATCAAAGTTTACAATTTTGTGGCATAATTCACGTACCAAGTTTAATGAGCGTTAAACTTAGTCGCCAGTGCATGTTAATTTTCCAACATTGATTGCATAAAGCCATATATTAAGCACTTTACTCAAACAAACAGCAGTAGTTTGTGATTTTACATCATGCCTGGTGCGTTTATGCCTTTTGAGGTCATGTTTTCTTTTAGCATAGCTGAAGAACCGGAAAGGGGAAGTACCCCCAATAATTTTGCGATAAATGAAATTCTATAGCAAACATAGTGGGAGGGTATAAAGTAATCGAGATGTCCGTCCGTCTCTCTGTACATCCGTCCGTCCTTCCGTCTGTTACGTTTTGGACACCCATCTCTTATCTGCAGTTTCTTTTTCTTCCCAGGGCTTTTTTACACGCTTCGATACGCAACGATTCCCGTTTTTTAGTATGTGGGTTAGATACCGTGACATTGATTGAGTAATTAAGTACATAAGCTATTTGTAATTTTATCTCGGACAAAGACATTGCAAAATTTAAATATTTATTGTTCATTTAATACTGTTCTTATATTCATATATTTCATTCACATAAATTTTGACCAATATCTTACAATTGCCCACTTGACATTTGGTAAATTTTTAAAGAATTATTGTAACTTTAACATCCAACATAAAACTGGTCTTAATTTGATACAATCAGTGAAGGCTATTACAATGAATTATCTATTAGCTCATTATATCATCAGAAACTACGACGGATCGATCATGGGAACTTTGTTCAACGACTGGCGACGCGATATTTTCCACATATAACTTCATTCCATCTGCTTTTTCACAAAACTCTTGCACAAAAAAAGCTTAAAAATGGTTGCGATGCAATATGTTTTATGTTTACTCTCAAATCTACATGTTACAGGTAAGTTATACTTTTATTTTGAAAAAGTACATCTGGATGTTTAGAATTTAACATTGTCTTTTAAAAATCTTGAAAAGTCATTGGTGTCTCGAAATGTTTACCACTGCTCCATAAGTACTCAGACATGGAAGGAAGTAAACAGTAATTTTTATTGTTCAGGGATATAATTATTTTGTAAGAAACAGATATTTTTTTCATTTCTAGGATTGGGAGGTTACGAAAAAATGATATTATAAAAAGAACTTTATTTGAATACTATAGTCTCAAAACACAACTTGATATATAACTATTCATTCAGATTTCAGATAGATTTCCTTTCTGCTTGTCCAAGATTGATTTTTTAAAATTAAATTCAAATCATTTAAAACGATAACTTAAGAACATGGTATCTATCTGGAGGCACTATCTATTGCATTTAACAATAATCACACAATTTCCTTTATTAAATACAAATTTCATTTCATGAATTCAAAAATGGGGGATAATTGGGTCTTCTGGCATTACATTAGAGTACAGTTTTTGCAGACATATTTTTCTATCAATCTTCTTGCAATTTGAAAATTTATATGATGAACATAAACTTAATATGTTATTTTACAAATAATATTCCATCCTGAAATGTACACTGGTTCAATTTCATTTTAATATAATTGTATAATCTTGTTTCCTCAGCAGATATAGACATATATTTAGTCGGTTTGTTCATTTTCCAGTTTTGGAAAGCTTTATATTCTCTAATAGTCAACATGAAATTTGATTAAAATTACAATTTTCTGATTTATTTTTCTGCCTTCAATAATCAAAAATGTTTTAAAGCATTTATCAAAGAAGAGGCTTGCAGAAAGGTATCATTTTGAATATCTTTGAAAGTTAGCAAACTACGAGTATATATTGATTTGAAATTTACTATTTGCATTACTATTTTTCTTACCATCAAATGTGTAACATAATTATCAATCCAGATTTTTATTTTTTGTATGTATTATCTGTCATTAGATATAATGCGTAGTATACATGCATCCAGATGCAATATGACCGGGAAATAAAACAATGATGGATGAATTAATTATGCAAGCTAAAGCATGCCGAAGGCAAATTTGTAAAAGTAATATTTTATGCCGTTAAAAACTTCTGAACTGATTACAGATGTCAAAATAACGACTTCTGAAATGAATTTTTTTTCGAAAACAGTTAGAGTAAGAGGTAAATGCGCTATATCTGACTATTTCCATGAAAACTGGTACAGTCGTGGCAGATGGGGAGATGACGTCATAACAAAGATAACTGCTGAGAAATGGGACAGCGATGAGGAAGAAACAGAGTTAAATTGTGAAGATTTGTTCATCCACCCCAATCTAGGGCCACAACAGCCTGGCAACAATGTCACGATGGTTATGGTCAGCAGGTAGGGGATGCTTAATTCTCCAAGGCATCTGATCTCATCCCTGGAATTTACGCCTCGTCCAATATGGATTTTTTTAAAGACCCCACATATTTCCGTATTACCCCTCTAAGTGTCTACATAGCTAATAATGACGGATGGATTAATTAAGCAAGCTAAAGCATGCCTACGGCAAATTTTAAAAAGTATATTATATACTGACGGACTTTAAAAACGCAACACCTAAAAATATTTGGTATTTTAAATTTATTCATATATCTTATAAACAAATTATTTCTTGTATACATTCAACCATGTTCAATGTTCAGTATTCTTTAATTTTCAACATCATTTTATTCACAAAAGGGGTACAACAGAAAAGAATGTCAAAGAGGGGTGCGTCAAAAATGTGGTTTTGGTCACTAATACCGTGTGTGGCCTCCATTGGCACGGATTACGGCGCGCAGGCGACGTGTCATTGACTGGCAGACACTTCGAATAGTCCTTTGAGGAATATTCTGCCACTCCTCCAACAAAGCTCTCTCAAGTTCCTGTGGGTTCTGAGGCTGAGGCTGGCGTCTGCGCACACGTCTACCAAGCTCGTCCCACAAATGTTCAATCGGATTTAAGTCTGGAGACAAAGCGGGCCAATCAAGGACGTTGATGCCGTTCGTTTGCAGAAAATTTTGCGTTAATCTTGCCGTATGTGCGCGCGCATTGTCCTGTTGAAAAATAAGCCTGTTGGCTTGTCTATGCTGATGCAATAATGGTGCTAAAACAGGCTGAAGAATTTCGTCTATG